AGAAGTTGCTGTCATTCGCAGCTTGATGATATATTAAATTGGGTCTATTATATAGACCAAGATTTACAATTGGTTACATCGGGAAATCAGCTAAACTTAAGGAACAGAAAGCATAAATCAAGCTAATCTATTTACATCAGGAAATCAGCTAAACTTAAGGAACAGAAAGCATAAATCAAGCTAATCTATTTACATCAGGAAATCAGCTAAAACTAAGGAACAGAAAGCATAAATCAAGCTAATCTATTTTAATATACAAGGTAACAAACCGTGATAGTTACAAGTCTGGTGCTGCATATATTAAGGATGGATAACAGAAGGATGTAGATTTTGTACCATAATTATTTTCCTAAGTATTTTAGCAGCAAGCTTCATAAGTTTGGAGCATTTTGATTGATTTGCTGCACAGGAAGCTGATCTGATATAATGTACACAAGGTGGGAGCAAAGGCTGTAGAGTTGAGCAAATGGAGTTTCCTTCTAGGGAGGTCTTTATCTACAGTTTTGCTCATTTTTTCGCATTTTGATGGTTTGCCATTTGAGTATTTTTCCCCCCTTCTGAAAATGTTAATATGGCTAGAGTCTAGTTATGTTTGAGGTAGAGTTTTGGTAAGTTTACATGGGGTACAAAATTGTATAGAGAGAAATAAGGACTTCTTTCTATGTTCCTCTAATGTATCAATACTCTTGAAAATGATGTGTAAACCTGTATTTAAAAATGATGGTGTACAAGGGGCTCTTTATCTCAACCACGGTACAATATTGTTTTGGCAGAATCCATCTTTGACACGGAAAGCCATAGTTATTGACAGCAATAATTTGAATTGATGGAGACCCTTTATTCTTATTTCCTTTAGCCATTATTTAATTGATACACTTCGTAGTTGTATGATTTGCTATAATATGTGAGACCTAATTTGTTTCGTTTTAATGCAGCTTATTTGATAATAATAAAATAATATTTTGAATTGTGACGTGAGTTCAACTATTATATTATTTTTAATTTCCATCAATTTATATCAGGCAAGTAGATGCAAGATCAAGTTTGGATGAATGAAACACGCACAAATATCATTAGAATAGTATTCTTCGATTCCATGAATGAAAAACCATTGATAGGAAGGTTGATATTCACATTCAGCGTCACAACAATTCTTAGACTAAAAGTAAGCTAAGCTTGTATTTATGTTGGGTTGTTTTAAATTTTTAAGAATCAAGGCCAACACCAAAATTTTGTATAACTTCTTTCCACCTTCCGTTAGTTAATCTCTTATCTTCAGGGAATTTGGTGCAGTCCCCTTATCTTATCACCCTGATATTACAAAAAAGATGACCCATAAACAATGTTTAATAGTTCTAGAAATTTAAAAAAAACTAATACAAAAGTGCATGACAAAACTCACATGTTCATTTATTAAAACCATCTCAATATTGTCTCTTATCTCGGGTCAATAAAAGTTGGGCCACCTCCAGAGTCTGATAACCCTAACTTTGATCCTCCATTGCTCTTTAGATGGTGACAGATCATAGATTAAATCAAATCTCGTAGCCATTTCAACCGATATCGAAACACAAAGTTTTGTCAGCGAACACATGGATGTATTTTATTTAATGAGTCAGCCATGAGTCAACAAGTTAGACTTATGATATGAGTTGACTCATCAGATGGATGTTTCCGTTTTTCATTTAATTTCCATTATTTATTTAGCTTTTGTTTTTCATTTAGTTTCCGTCTTCATTTAGTTTACATTTTTCATTATGGGTATATACTATTATTATTTTTATTAATTTATTATTACGATTGTTATTAACCAGTTAAGTGTGAAAAGGAATCTGATTCATGGGGTTTAAAGTAGACATATGGTATTTTATAGCCTAATTTGGGAAGGAAAACTTCTACTATTGTTAACTCATTTAGTTTCCAGTTCCCATTTAGTTTTCATTTTACATTTAATTTCCATTTGTCATTTAACTTCCATTTTCATTTAGTTTCCGTTTTTCATTTAATTTCCATTTTCATTTAGTTTACGTTTTTCATTTATTATACTATTGTTATTAGGGACAAGTTATTCTACCTATTCATATTCTGCCTACCTTTGTCTATCCCTTTCAACACTGTTAGATTATAATCTCATCCAATGGTGGATATTTGCAGAATAAAATAAATATTTTTTCTTCTTTCTTTCTTCTCACTTCTTCTCACACCTTTTTTCTCTCCTCCCCTTTCTCTCTATGCTTGCGATTTATATTGTAAGAGAAAAATAAAATTATCCAATTAGGAATCGCTTTGAAAAATCATACACAGCCCATACTTGATTTTCACAAAAAGATCTTTTAGTGCGATCCTTGTAAAAATCATGGAAATTAGGATCAGGGACATCTATTTGCATGTGTTTTTTCTTTTTTTCTTTGATCGAGTATGCGTTTTTCATTTTGGAGAAAGAGATTTAGAGAAAAAGGGTGTGGGAGGAAATGAGGAGAAAAAAGAGTTTATTTTATTCCACAGATATCCACCGTCGGATGAGATTGTAATCTAATGGTGTTGAAAGGAGTAGACAAAGATAGACAGAATAAAAGTAAGTAGAATAACCTATCTCTTGTTATTAACCAGTTAAGTGTGAAAATGAATATGATTCATGGGGTTTAAAGCAGTCATGTGACATCTTTTAGCCCCAACTTGAGAAGGAAAACTTCTGCTAGTGCTTACTCATTTAGTTTTCGTTTCTCATTTAGTTTCCTTTTTTATTTAACTTTCGTTTATCATTAAGCTTCCGTTTTTCATTTAGTTTCTATTTTCATTTAGTTTTTATTTTCATTTAGTTCCCGTTTTCATTTAGTTAACATTTTTCATTTATTGTTACTATTGTTATTAAACGATTAAGTATGAAAAGGAATATGAATCATGGGCTAATAATAAGACATGTAGCATTTTTGTCCTGTAATGACTTCTCTTTTCTAATTATAAAGATATTATTTTATTATTTTGAACTCAGATGTGGCTTCTTCAACTATTATATTATTTTGAATTTTCATCAATTTAAACAGAAACAAAATAAACAAAATAATAGTAACTTACATTTTATGAAGTGTAATATGTTATTTTTTAAGGCTCGATAGCTCAAAGCAAACTTTTAATTCTTAAAACTAGTCAAATCAAATTTATAATTTGGTTTATATTATGTTAACTTGAAATATTTTCCATAAGCTTTACCCATTTAAGGGGGCGTGGAGATTTTTTTTTACTTGGGAGTCACGATTTTCGGGGATATGATGAAAAAATGAGTTTCCCGGGAATATAATTAAAAGGTTATTTGGTAGGTCAAAATATTCACGAAAATGTTGGGTTAATTTTTTTGATGTGATTGATTGTCAAATATTGCTGACAATGTGGATTGGGGTTAATTATGTCCCAAAAAAATTATCAAATATTCCCATCTCAAAATACCACCCATTTGGTGATATTTTAAGATAGAATTTTTCTTCGTAAACATGAATCCCGGGAATTTGACTTTACTAAATTTTTTTACAATTCTCACAACAAACGTGTATAAATTGAATTCTCAATCTCACTTTCCCAGGATTTTAAATTTTTTCCTTCTACCAAACACTCTCCAATTTGAATTTGAATTTTTCTTGTATTGGTTTTAATTTGCTAATTAATGTCAATTAACTTTATCTGTTATGATTTGCTAACTAATGTCAATGAACCAGTCAAATCTGTCACATGTTGAAGTTGATTTCTATAAATTCAAATTCTTGTGAAGCTCTAGCTGTATTTCCTCTTTGAGTCTTAGAGCACAGTCTGAGATCAGCCTTTGTTGAAAGTAATACTTCTGTTTTTTTACATTACGCGGTGACTTTTTCTTTGTTTTTGTGTTGTTTTCTTAGATGTTGTTTAATTTTGTTAATAACTCTTAGCTTTCCTGATAATTTGAAGGATGAAGTATCCAACTTGGGATCCAAGTTTCGACAACCTAGGAGAGGAGGAGCTGAGCGAGCTCATTGCTAAGTTGGATGCTAAGCTTGCAGCTTGTGATCAGAGAATTGACACCTTGAAAAAGGAGCATATGAAGAGAGGTCATTAGAGTCATGACAGCTATTAGGAACTAAAAGAGAGGTTATGAAAGTAATGGCACTACAAAAAATGATGTAATTTGTGGAGGTTATATTTGCAAATAGTGGAGGTCTTTGACCCCCACAACATATATTTGTGGAGGTTCCCCCAAACCCCAGTATTGCATGTGCCACAACCTATTTTGTGGAGGTTTTGTGTGCAACGACACTATTTGTTGAAGTATTTTTTGAAGGTTCCAAACCCCCACAAATGTTGCAATTTCTGGCATTCTTCAACCTCCACAATATGTTTGATTTTTTGTAGGTTAAAAACCTCCACAAAATGTTGCAATTCCTGGCATTCTTCAACCTCCACATTATTTTTGATTTTTTGTAGGTTAAAAACCTCCACAAAATGTTGCAATTTCTAGCATTCTTCAACCTCCACAATATGTTTAATTTTCTGTAGGTTAAAAACCTCTAGAAAATGTTTCACTTCCAGGAAGGTGTAAAATGCCATAATTTATTTAGTAATTTTGGCATTCCTAAATTTTTGCCACAATTTCTGGTGTAAATTGCCTATATTTATATGGTCAGCTTGAATACATCACTTTACGTAGTAAAAGAAGAAGCCAGTAGTTACATAAGAGTGTTACGATATTGTATAAATTTTTTTTCAATCAATCAGGAAAATACATAAAGATATGATCATGAGAACTGTAGGTTATGCTTTTTTTCTTGCAAGTCATATATATAACAGGGGTACAACCCAATATGCACCAAATTCTCTTTTGCATTCAAATATAAAGTTGATTCTATGAGTATACCTATAAATGGTACACATTCAAAAAAGATAAAGTTGATAGTAAACAAGAAAGAGTATGAAATTTACAATTATCCAAAACAAAAAACATAAAATAAACCATCTTAAAGCTACAAAATCCACGAGTCTTTAATGATGCATCGATCATTTTACAGAATCTAAAATCATAAGAAAAATATTGAATTCACATAGCTCAAATTAAGGGTAATTACTATCTAATGAAGACCTTCCACGTGTAGGGATAGCTTCTTCACTCCCTTCGTCCTGTGAAAAAACCAATTTAAAAAAATGAGGCATTTAAACTTCACTAATAAACTAATAGTAGAGCAACAAAAAAATAAACATATGAAATCATTACCATTGGAGGAGTAGTAGTACCAAACAAAGCATCTAACTCTGGAGGAATTTGTCCTTCCTTCATTTGTATATATGCAAGCATTACTGTCTGTAATGTCTTGACACTCTCCTCAGATGCTGCTAACTTGGTCTTCAACGAAGTAACCTCTTCCCTCAACCGAGAACTTTCAGCTGAATCTGTACTTGAGAAAGTAGAGCCTATCGGATTGAATCGTCTACTTGTGGGTCCAAATGCAATGCTAGGAAGACCACCTAGGCCTAAACCACGTACACGACCAGAGTGCTCTGGTCCAAAAACTTTTGCAATAGCATCATTTGTTGAAATTTCAGTGGAACTGGTGCTCTGGCTTAATTCTTCATATATTTGGTCCTATCCATATAAAAAATTCATGAATCTAACATGTACACAAAGAATAAACAATCAATTTTAAAGTAACAACCCCTTACTTGCAGCCAGCCATTAATAGCATAAAAAAATCTCCAAACTAGGCTGCTGACAGATTAAGGAAAAATCAAATGAATTGGCCCATCTCACTATTCCATGATTATATCTTTATAAACACAGTTTATCAACCAGCCATTAATTATGCAAGTTTTGTGCAATAATTAAAGCTAATTAACTTACTTACCACTATAGCCTTTGCCTTGTCATTCTTGTGAGTTTCAATATATAGCTCGCCTCGACTCACAGGACGTCCGACCTCTACTTCCTATAACATATACAAATCATATAAGTCCAAATGTCAAATTTATAAGATCTAGATATATAAAACACTAGTAATTTACCATCTCATGTCGTCTCCGGGACAAAAGTTTGGAACCCCCGGTGTGTGGGATAGTTTGTTTTTTTCTAATCTCAGCATTCTTCTCACATAACTCCTACAATATCAACAAAAACAATGTATCAAGGTGTTAGCTATACCCTACTCTCTTTTTTTTGTGAACACAGTGGTCACATCAACTTTGACACTTTTGATATAGCTTCATGTCATTTCAGTTTTTCTAATCTCAGCATTCTTTTGACACTAGTAATTACAAGCAACCAATATTTAAGAGCACCCATGATCATGCACATTCATCAGTAGAATTATAACTGGGTGAAGTTATTCCAAATATTTAAGAGAACATATAGACCCAAATAAATTGATAATTCTAATAGTTTAAACCAAAGAAAATAGCATCATGTGTCTCAGCTGCAGAAGCATGTATTAAAGAAAGGATCGATATTACGTGTATCGTGGAAAGAATCGTGCGTATTTGTAAATATTCTGTAAATAATCTACACACAAAACACGCAAGAGACAAAGTTATACATTAGCTACATTGAACTAGCACATCAATTGAACACAAAAAATAACAAATAAAATAATAATTATTAACAATCTGTCACTTGGTGTGTTAACAGAACAGAATAAAACTTCAAATCACAATCATAACCTGTCCAAAACCTTAAAAGGCTTGGATCTGATGCTAAATCACAAGCAACCAATATTTAATATGATTACCTTATAACTTGGTTTCAGATGATAGTCTACAAATGACGACCATTGATCTTTAGGAACACCAGCAGGGACTTTTGCAATTAGTTGATCTCTAGGAAGCTTTAACTGCTTAGCTGATTTCCATAACTTTGACTTGCCGTTCCTGAACCTTCTTCCTAAGGTAAGAAGACAATAACGCTTGGCAATTGTTTCTGGAGCCTGAAAATGAAATAGATTCTTTACAAAATAGTATTAATGTTAGTAAAGTAATTAGTCAATGCTTAACAGTAGAAGTTAATAACTAAACAAATTCAAAAATTAGACACAAATTTGGTGTATATACCTTCAAACTATCATAGCATTCATCCTTGTATGGATCAGGTACTTTATCCCATCTTTCGTAATTAATAGGAACATTGTTGCAATCAGTGGCAATACGTCCACATACTTTCGAAAAAAGTGTTGCGACTTCCCCATAGGCTTGCATTTGTGTATCAAATGGCACTATTATGCGTTGACCATCATTCATCTCAAACACACTTGATGTTGTCAATTGAATTTTCTTTTCATTTCCTTCTTCATCTATTAAAACAGATCTAAGTTAGCTTAAATGATAATATAATAATCATAACTTACTTAAAAAATTACCTATAGCTTGCACAGTCCATTTCCTACTGGACTCACGTCCTAAATGAGATGGACGATTTGGAAAATGTGGTTCAGTAGGAATTGATGAAGGAACAAAGGTTTGTGGGGACTCTGCTTGCATACTGGAACTTGATGATACAACATCATTCCTTAAACGTTTTCCTTTAGGAGGCATGACTAAATTGCTTTAGGAAAAATATGAAGGCTTTAGGCTTTGTTACTTCCCCTGTTAAAATATTTCAACATTCCATCAATGTAAATGGCTACAGACATAATATATTAATCTAAAACTTAAAGCATTCAGCAATAGACCATTAAGATTACAAAGATGAGAGTTACACTTTAGCATACTCTATGAAATGAGAAATCTAACTACAACAGACATAATATATTAATCTACGAAAAAAGGAAGCATGAAAGTGCATCATCATTAGATAATAGAACAAGACAAGAATGAGTACAAGTAGACTGAATAAAATTTTTTGCTTTCTTGTTTGCAAGAAAGATAAAAAGAATACCAATGGACAGTCTAGATAAAAGCATACTAGTATAAATATTGGCTTGTACTCGTCCCTTCTCAGTGTTTTGTGATTACCCAGAAGCTAAAAATGTTGTATTAACCATAAGCACATACATTGAACAATCATGAGTGAATTAAAGAACAAGAGAAAAAGAAAAACAGTAAAACCAAGTTCAAAGATTGCAAATCACCTAGAAGTCTTATTGCTGCTGATAGAGTTCCACCTGTGGCCACCAAGTCGGTACATACTCCAAAGTGAGTTTGATGCCAAAGTGGGTAATTGACCTTCTTTTATTTTTTTCAGTTATTTTAAATTTTTATCTAGAAAAATTGTTTTACCAGAAAAAGAAAAGTAGCATGATTAAATTGCAGATACACCAACTAGAATTTAAAATGGGACGGTGCTGAAACCTCTTTCTGGGTTCGCAAGGGTTGATCACAACAAGTTCTCATTCATATAAGAAACATAAGAGACATATAATACTGCAAAGGCAAACACTGCATGAAAAGAAAACAAAAACATAAAATAAAAGTAAAACAAAGACATATACAAAAGTAATTTGTGCCTTTCTATCATAATATGGACATATCTTCACTCGGACATATTTTCATCTCCATGAAGTTGACTTTCAACATGGCTTGTAGTTATGAATTCATTATCTACATCCTCCCTAGCCAATGTTATTGCGTCAGCTTCTTCTGAGAATAAATTGCTTAGGTCTTGCTCGTGATTTGACTCAGTTTCACAAATAACATGTTCTATATCTTCTCCCATATCATACACATCCCTTGGCATCATGTGCACAACAACACTCCAACCTTTATTTACCTCATCATCCACATAATACACCAATTGTGCTTGTGAAGCTTCAATATATGGGTCATGCTCTTCACGTTCACCAGTGTGAATACATTTAGAGAAGTTCACAGAAGTAAATTGCCATGCATCTTCTCTGATTCCTCTCTCACGTGTGGTATCTGCCCATTTGCACTTGAATAGGATTACTTTGAAAAAACCGTAATAGTTGAGCTCAATTATGTCTTCTAACTTTCCATAGTATGGCAAATCTGCTTTCCTCATATTTGCATCAGCATTACTTGCAACACAAGATGTGTTTGAAGTTAGAAAAACTCCACTATTTTGAGTTTTCAAATCCTTATCTCGATTTATAGTTCTAAACTTAAACCCATTTATGTTATATGCAGTATATCTTCGTGCCTGTAGCATTGGACCCCTTGCCAGAAACTTTATTTCAGTTGTAATTGAATCTAAAATGTTCGGATCCATAACCTACATTAAAAATCAATTGTTTTAGTTACAAAAGTAGGTTGATTTTTTCAAAAAAAATTAAATTAAATTTTACCCGATGAGGAAACCAATTTGCAAATTCCTTAGTAACTATCTTTTCTATCGCTGTAGCTGAAGGTCTCCGACCTGTTGTCCTTCTCTTAATGAGTGCTCTAAATTCACTTAAAAAAACAAATCTGTTAATATTGCATTGCAATATTACTATTCTTACCACATGAAATATGCAAAAATACTTACTCAACAAATGGAAAGACTTTCGAACAATTCAGTAGCAAATATCGATGTGCTTGTATTTTCTCTAATGGAGTAAGAGTGAAAGTTGATGAACTTCCAACTGGTCTACCTAATTGAGGATAGATGGAGGATGTTTGAGGCGTTTTATTATCATTTTGACGATCATCAACACGTCGACCTCTGTTCATCCTTGACTCAACTTCTTCATATTGTGAATACAAATTTAGTGTCTCTTCGGCTAAATAAGCTTCACAAATAGAACCTTCTGGTTGCGCCCTATTCCGTACAAGAGACTTAAAATGCCCTAACATCCTATCATCACAAAAGAATAATGTTATCAAGGCAATTACTTAAATATTTTTACCTCACAAATACAACAAATGAGTTAAGCACAACAAAAAATGTGTACCTCTCAATTGGATACATCCAGCGATAATACACCGGCCCTCCTAATTTTACTTCTTGAACAAGATGACAAGTTAAATGAACCATCACCGTGAAGAACGAAGGGGGTAAAAGGATTTCCAAATGGCAAAGAGTAAGCACAATTCGATGTTGCAGCTTATCAAGGTTTGATACATTCAACTTTTTTAGGCATAATTCTTTGAAAAATGTAGATAACTCTACCAACACTGCAGTCACCGCATCAGGCAAAACATTACGTATAGCTATTGGAAGCAGATGTTGCATGATGATGTGACAATCATGACTCTTCAAGCCAAATATCTTGGAGTTTTTTTCATCAATGCAACGAGATATGTTACTTGAGTAACCATCTGGCATCTTTACATTCTTCAATGTTGTGAGAAATATGTTTCGTTGTTCTCTTGTCATTGTAAACAACAAAGGAAGAAATTTTCCATTTTCAAGTGGCCAAAGATCATGTTTTATGCCCATGTGTTTAAGATCTTGGCGAGCTTCACGATGATCCTTTGATTTATCATCATTGATCAATGTATATAAAACATTGTCACAGACATTCTTCTCAATATGCATAACATCCAGATTGTGACGTAAAAGATTATCCTTCCAATAAGGAAGATCAAAGAATATGCTTTTCTTTCTCCATTGTTTTGGTTTATCTTCTCCACGTGCTCTTTTCCTTCTAGTATTTGATTCAAGATTGCTTCCAAAGGTTACATTGATACCATCCAGTTGATTTAGAATCTCTAACCCGGATAATAACATAGGTGGATCTCTTTCTTCAATTGTGCCATCGAAGTGCTTCTTCATCAATCTAAATTTATGACCCTTCTCCAGAAATCGTCTATGACCCATAAAACACCATTTTTTGCTATATTTTAATCGACAAGAGCATGTATCAAAATTACAAGTTGGGCAAGCATTGCCAGTATAAGTGTTCCACCCAGATAAGGTACCAAGCCCAGGGAAGTCACTAATTGTCCACATAAGAGCTGCTCTCATTCTAAATACTTCATTCATTGAAGAATCGTAGGTTTCCACACCATCACTCCATAGCTCATTCAACTCCTGGATTAAAGGTTGTAGATACACATCTATATTATTCCCTGGCATTCGTTTTCCAGGAATGATCATAGAAAGAATCATGGAAGTTTGTTTCATGCACTCCCAAGGAGGGCGATTATATGGAATTAAGATGACCGGCCATATGCTATAGTTACTACTCATGGTTCCATAAGGATTGAAACCATCAGTAGCTAGGCCAAGGCGAACATTTCGAGATTCTGAAGTAAATTGAGGGTGAAGTTGGTCAAAACTCTTCCATGCTTCAGCATCTCTTGGATGCCTCAATAATCCATCTGGATTGTTTGCCAAAGCATGCCATCTCATTGATTTTGCTGTTTTAGAACACATAAATAATCTTTGTAACCTTGGTTTCAACGGGAAGTAACGCAAAACCTTTGCCGGTAGCTTTTTTCTACTAACAGTATGGCCATCTCCTTTTCCCTTACCCATTGGCTTCCATCTAGAAGTTTTACAATGTTCGCATATTTCCAAACTTTCATCTTCTTTCCAATACAACATGCAATTTTTCGGACAAGCATCTATCTTGGTATAATTAAGACCAAGTTTATAGATGATCTTCTTTGCCTCATAGAATGAATCTGGAATTTTCGCATTTTCGAATGCATCCTTTATCAATTCCAATATCAATGTCATTGCCTTGTCAGTCACACCACACAAGCACTTTATGTGATACAATCTTAACAAAAAAGACAACTTTGAATACTTTTGACACCCTTCATATAATTCTTGGTTACCATCTCTAACCAAATCATCAATATTTCTCTGTTCTTCATGAGGCGTTGGATGTTCGGACACTAATGATTCAAGTGAAGGGGTGGGTTCTGATGCATGCCGTTTGTTGACCCCAAATGCATCATTTATCATGTCTAATATAGGGTTTTCAGTGGCCAACGACCCTTGCATTACTTGACAATCTCTTGATGTCACTGTTTCATACGTTTCACCATGCCAAATCCAAACTTTGTAATTTTTTGGAAATGGCTTGCAAATCAAGTGGTCAAGCACTATATCTCTAGTTTCCCATTTATTGAAGCGACATTTAGCACATGGACACTTTATTACACCATTCACAGACCGTTTCTCAAATGCAAAATCTAAGAACTTATTTAACCCATGCAAATATTCAACTGAATTTCGTGGCATATCAATCCATGATTTGTCCATTTTTGCCTTGGTGTCAGATAAACCCACGTGAGCCTCTCTGCCACCCCATGTCGAAAGACAAAAACAAAGCCTCAAATATTTTATATTAAGTGGGAAAAAATTTACTTTTTGATATTGTTGCTAAATATTAAGAAAAATACCTAAAGTCAACAAATCATAATAGATTACGTTTACAGAGGCATAAAATGTCTTCACGTGGAACCCACCATTACAAAAATGCATTAACAACATCACTAGTTCATTTCAATTATTATTATTTTTTCTTTATTAAATTAAGTTACAAAATTTGGCTTACAATATCAAAAGAAAAGAAAAAAGTATAACATCTGATTTTTTATTTTCTAACTTTAGTTAACATTCTGTACATTAATTAATAAAAATTTGCCATCAAAATAAACAGTATGTATATATCCAATTACCTCTCTTTCAAGTTCCTTTTTCTTTTGCCGCCCAGTACTTTTCTTTTTCTCTGCAAACAAAGAAAAATACACGGAAAATTAGTTGTTATAAAAAAAGAGCATACATTTTTAATAGAGGTACTGAGTACAAAAAACATAAAAGTTAATGCACGCCCAAGCTCTCAAATTGTACTAGAATCAGGATGGACCTAATTTAGATTAGTCAACTGAGATTTGGCACTAATAGTCATCGTGTTGATAGCCTCTAATTTGTAACTGTTTTGTCAATGTAATTGTTTCCAATTGATATGATTCAAACTCGGCATATATAAGGCTAGAATTCCATTCCATGAATTCATCGAGTACTAACTAGTTGGTGGAAAATTAAGTAAAGAGTGAGCATCAGTATCACATAAAATTTCATTGTACACTTCCTTTAACCAAGCTGTCCTCTTACTATCAAAGTCTCTTCATACTTTATTCACTCAATTATGCATGGTAGGGCAATGCTTCACACATCAAAGTCTCGAAGTCGTGAGATAATACAAACTTCTAATCAAAATTCTATAGATACTTGCATATACCAATCTTCCACCATCTTCCTTTTTAAATTTTTCATTCACCACTAAAGCAGTATCAATAGGTTTGTAGCCAAAAATGCCAAATTTCTTCAACATATTTTCAGGATATTTCCTTTGACAAAAAAAAAATCCATTTTCATCTTGATAAACCTCAATAACAATAAAATAATGTAATATTCCAAGATCACTCATACCCCTCTCTCGCTAGTCAAGGTTTAATGGGGAGTGAATTTTATTTTTATTCCAAGATCACTCATCTCATATTTTTTCATAGTTTCTATTCTAAAATTTTCATTTTCTTAAATTTACTTTCATTGATTTTTTAAATTTACTTTCATAATAACTTTTCTGCTTAACTTGCTTCATCAAAAACAAAGATAGAAAAAATTCCTTTTGAGCTAGGCTGCTTAATTAGGCAGGTTCATCAAAAACAGATTAGGCAGGTTCATCAAAAACAAAGATAGAAAAAATTCCTTTTGAGCTAGGCTGCTTGATTAGGCAAGGTGAAACATTCTGTGATAGCATTAACATAGAGAAAAGAACCTTAATTTTTAGATTTCCAAAATAGAAAAGAAGCCAATCTCAATTATTTGACAGTTTAACTACCATATGGTGGGGTTAAAGGCTTAAAGCTTGAAGTTAAATTTAACATGTATAGACAATTTAACATGTATAGGCTTAAAGCCAATCTCAATCACAATTTTGCTCCCACATATGACATGAACTCCCTATTCCCCTTTCTATAGACAACCTAACATGTATACCATTTAAGCCATGTCAACAGCAGCTAATTATTATAAAGAAAGAGAAAAAGCAAACTCGAATCACTTCTTGAAACAGAGTCCAACAAAGAATAAAAACATATATCAGAAGAATGAATTCAAATCTAATATACACATACATAGATACACCCTGACATACAAACAGAAAACAAATGTTAGTTAAGTACTATATGGTACAAGGTACATGCAGAGTGTTGTGGTAGATCTCATCTGAACCCTTTCTCAGATCTTTTACTTGAGCAGAGAAAGAGAGAGTCTCTTACCTATAACACAAGGAATTTCCTACTTTTCCTTGTCCCCAAAATTTACTATACTTTCCACATAATTACTACTCTGACGCAAAGATGCTAGCTTTACCACTCAAATCAATTGTCATACCAAGACCACTTCTTGGGCTTAATCAATGGTCCACTCATTATTTATTTATTATTATTTTTTATCTTATCTTACACAAAAATAAGATTCTAGTTTCTTATTTTTTAGGCCCAAAGTTAAGAAACTGGAATCTGAATGTGAGGTGAAAGGAAACAAGGCTAAAGCTTTGGAAGCTGAGGTGTATGCTCTTAAAAAGAAATATGAGGGGTTCCATGTAGAATATCAACGCCTCTTGGCGAATATTTAAGAATTAACCAGACCGGGAAACAGGAAAACACAAACAAAAATAAAGCAGGAAAATAAAAGTAAAATATAAAAGAGCACAGACAGGGAACATGAATAGCATATAATTAACCAGGGTCAAGACTATCAGCCGCCATGAGTTTAGCCAGATCCGGCCTCTATGGAATATATGTGTGAGCTTTCACGCACATGCTAATAAGGGTTAAACAAAAAATAAAAACATAGTTGATTAAGTTTCATCTGAAATTCAACACCAGCACATACTGAAATTATGGAAAGCAAAACAAAATAAAGCAGAATTGTTTTATTCACTAAATTCAGCTGAATTCTAAGTTTTGATGGATAGATTTCATAACAAGAAAAAAAAATTCAATAAAGCAGAGAAAAAGTTCACCAACCTAATGATGAGAAGCTATGATATGATGAGTTCAAGTAATGACCTGATGATGGTTAATGACTTCAGTTGACCACAATGGCCTCAAGTGGCTTTGAATGCAACAAGCTGAAATGAAGATGAAGATAAGTGTGTCATAACCTATAGTAAAATTAGTTACTTCTATTAGTCACGTACATTTTAAGAATGCAATGCCTTGCTTGGTTTTAATTTCAATCAAAATCACAAATACAAGTAGTAGTGAACTTTAAGAGAAGTAGAATTGCAAACTTTAGAGCTAGCTTTGTAGAGGGGCCAGCAGGAATCCACGGCGGGGATCACATAAGTTAGACTAATCACACCAAATTTATTCGATGAAAATCATAATTCATAATTTAATCCTAGTTAAAAAAGTTCAGACAAACAGTCGCTTTATTCTTTTGGGCGTATGGAAGTATGAAGATTTCCAACTCAACACGTCTTTGTACATTATATTCAAAAACTCTTATGACATCACAAATTCATACATCAAAACATTATTTATCCTTACTTCACATCCTATAACCTCAAATTTCCATTCTTGATCGTAGGGATACTGTCTTTCAGGAAACACTTTCAAGATCTTTACCTACTTCCTCATCAACTTTCTTCTCCAGTTTCCTCGCCTTGCAATCATCAAAGTAAATCACGCACGACACCCATTTCAGAGTATTAACCAAGTGAGGAGCCCAATTTGCAGAAAAATTACATTCCCTCCTTTATAGCATCCAAGGAAGACACAGGACAACCTTAAACAAAGTCCTAAAGCAAAGAAAACAAGCATCAAAAGGAGTCCTCTCTTCTGATTACCTCTGCTGAAGAAATATGAAAGTCTTAATGCCCCAATTCCATATATACCATCCAGAACTGATATATGGATTTTTCCTTAACAGCGAGCCAGCATTTTAAAACATTGACAGTAACTGTAGGCAATTATTTACACAGGTTTTATGGTTTCAGTTGGGTCTCTTTTTCTATAGATTCTGAAGTTAGGTGTGATGGTTACCTTTTTTACAACGTGCTAAGGTATCAGCACCAGACATGCTCTTCAATGTAAAATGTTATTTCAGAGTATTGTCCATTGTCTTTAATCTGAAAAAAGTCCAAGCCTTCAATACACAACGTTTTTTGGATATCACCTGATAGCTTATATAATGTTCAGATTTGAGCTGCACTGCATATAATTTGATTGAGTCACAAACTCAGTTTCTTTAGTTTGGCTATTGTGAGTTGGAAAGTGTAGGAGTTGTTAGTAGGAAGTGCAGGTGCTGGCTGCAGTTGAGTTTCTTGGTAGGATAAGCCGGTGTTAGTTTCAGCTTGATCACTTGGTAGGAAGTGCAAGTGTTGGTTTCATTTGGGTCTCTTTTCCTATAGATTCTGAAGTTAGGTGTCATCGTTACATCATTAACACATACTTTAGTATCAGCACCAGGCACCTTCTTTAATCTGAAATGTTTCAGAGCATTGTCTATAGTCTTTAATTTCTCTGTTGAAGTTGTTTTTCAAGATGGAGTTGAATTTTTTTTTCCAAAGTCATTACAATTTAGATAAAACAAGTAGGAGGTGTTGTGTGCAACTTTGATGTAGAAGTCATAAAGGGACTAATTTATACAGCACTGAGTAACTGCAGAGATCTTTGTGGCAACGGTCAATCACTGTAAAACAAAAAACAAAAAACGTACATGCAACTGGACCCACAAACCAATTGGCAATTTACAAGACTGCATCTTATTTTGATTTAAATTAATGGGATTTAAATTGTGGGTTATTGAGTAATATTTAGAGCCAAAAGTGATAATAGGCTACGATCATCTATCAAATGAGATTATTTTCAACTATTGAAACAGAAAAGAAAGTATAGTTAGAGGACTAGAAGCAATAGACTTAGTTGACATAAGGCAACAGCTTATGTGCAATTATTTGAATATATTTACCAGTTGATTGATTACTAATATGATTTGAGCACTGTCGAAACTCAATAACTCATTACAGGGAACGACTTTCCTACGACCAATGTTAATAAAATCGAATCGGTCCGGTTGGTTAGATCTGAGAGCTGGTAAATCAATTTAGGTGAAGCAACGGATCAGCCATGCATTAGAACTGGTGCGACCTAGCCGATTTTCATGAAAATTGATAACGCGATCTGTTAACCGGTGACCTGGCCCGGTCCAAACAAATAATAATCTAATTAAAAAAAACATAATAT